AGCCAGGAGTAACCCCTGTGCGTCACCAGGTGTGACCCAAAAAAAGCAAAAAAAAAAAAAAAAGAGACCAGATATTTCAGTGGGTAAGGTGCTTGCCTTGCACACAGCTGACCTAGGTTCAATTCCCTGTACCCCATATGGTCCCCTAAGTGCTGCCAGGATTCCTGAATGCAGAGCCAGGAGCAAACTTTGAGCGCAGCTCAGTGGGCCCTCAAACAAATATATATTTTAATACTTAAATGTTCCTCACTGGACTGTTCACTGATGCAATTAAAGTTATTGGGTTAAGGGCCAGAGTGATAGTACAGTGGGTAGGGCACTTGCTTTGCATGCAGCTGACCCAGGTTTGACCCTCAGCATTCCATATGGCCTCCTGAGTGCAGAGCCAGGAATTGTGTAAACACACAAAAAATAAAATGGCCGGCGGTCTCTCCGTGTACTCCAACAAGGAATAACCCCTGAGCATTGCCGGGTATGGCCCAAAAGCCAAAAAGAAAGGGAAAAAAAGCTATGAGGCCAAGCTCAAAGGGCTGGGCCCATGCCTGGCATTCGTGAGACCTCAAATTGGATTTCTGGCAAACTGTCAGGCCTGTATCATTGGAGGAACAAAATGAAAAAGCTACGGATCCTCCCCTCTGCAAAACGCACACAGGAGAGGCAGGGATGTGGCTCAAGTGGGAAAGCACGTGGGAGGCCCTGAGTTGAATCCTCTGCTCCACATTCCCCCAACCCAGCACCGCTGGATTCAGCCCTATGCATCCAGAGCACCACCCTGAGTCCACTTCCTAAGAAACGCGCAGGTGGGCTGGAGCGATAGCACAGCAGGTAGGGCATTTGCCTTGCACATGGCCGACACGGGTTCGATTCCCAGCATCCCATATGGTTCCCTGAGCACTGCCAGGAGTAATTCCTGAGTGCAGAGTCAGAAGTAACCTCTGAGCATCGCCAAGTGTTACCCAAACAGCAAAAAAAAAAAAAAAAAAGAAAAGAAAGGAAAAAGAATCGCTCAGGTGTCTTATCCACCACTATTGGCCTTTGATTCAGGGGTCAGGGGTTGGAGCTGCGCACCCTGGTCAGGTGGCCTAGAGCTGAGAACTCCTGCAGCAAAGGAAGCAAAACAGCAGTGCGACCTCAAGATGAGACAAAAGATCAGCAATACGCTTTTATTTGGGGGCGTCCTGACTCAATCACTCAGAGACCAGGGGCTTCTCCCCTCCTCCACAACAGCTCTGATCTGGGAGACACTAAGGATGTTCAGCCTCTTTATCCCAAGCCTCTGGCTTTCTAGTTATCTCTCAGTTCCAGCATTTTCTTTGTTTCTTTTTTCTTTCTTTCTTTCTTTCTTTTTTTTTGGCGGGGGGTGGGGGCTGTGGGGTGTGGAGGAAGGTTGGTGCTAGAGAGCCTCTTAGCAATGCTCGAGGGACCCAGTGGTGCCAGGGATCAAACCAGGACCTCCCACATGCAAAGCCTGAGCTTGGCCCTTTGAACTCGGGCCACAGCGCTTCAATTCCACTCTTAAAAGCCTCCAGAACTCTCAGCTCTGTAAGACAAAGGGGAAGTCAGACCTTGGAAGACATTTATGTCTACCCCTTAGTCAGGCTGAACAGGTCGCCCAGAGAGGATTCCCCGTGAGCCTGCCCAACCCACAGGACTGAATCGAGCTCCCAGCCATTCTCTGAAGTCTGAAGGGAGAGAGGGACCCAGGTCCATCTAGTCTGAGCAGGAACCCTAGGATTCAGGCTCTCTGAACAAACCCCAGGCTGCCTTTGTAGAAACATTTGCATATCTGAATCCCACATTCAAATTTTATAAGTGGGACTCCTGGGAGGCGGGTCTGAGTTCAGCCTCCATCACAGGTGTACTGTGTGGGGGGGGGGGGGGTGTGTGTGTGTGTGTGTCTGAACTTGGGTTATGTATCTCCCGTACAAAGCTGTATCCAGGAAGCGACAGAGTGTCCTTAGCAGAGAGGGTATTAATGTACTTTCTGGTTCTGTCAGCCCCTCCATCCAGTCGGCTGTGTGTGCTGGCAGAATGTCATATTTGTTTGATTTTTGTTTTGTTCTGTTTTGGGACCATACCTGGCACTGCTCAGGGATTACTCAGAGCTTACTCCTGGCTCTGCACTCAGGGATCACTTCTGGAGGGCTTGGGAGGACCATTACAGAAAGCTGGGGAATCAAACTAGGGTCAATCATGTGCAAGGCAAGTACCCTACTCTCTGAAGTATCTCTCCAGCTCATGGAGTCATATATTTGTGAATCCCTGAGCGCCAAGCTGGGAGCGGCCCCAAGCATTGCTAAGTGTGGCCCCCAAACAAACAAAAAGATTTTTCTTCAAGTCATCTTGGGAAGTCCTCGATCTGCAAGGTGAGGCCTGCGGGGAGGAGGAAGGAGTCTGTTTACAATGCCTCAGTTTCCTCACTTGTAAAATGGGGGCATCTAGAGCACATATGCACAAGTTAAAGCATGTGGAGCCTTGAAGCAGCCCAGGCATGTTCGGGAGATGGTGGCCATGGTGACGTGATTTCCAGCCGAACCCCAGTTCCTGGATTCCTTCCTCGCCCGTAACTCCCTGACAGGCCCGGGTGGTCCCCAGGGGGAGGTCACAGCTCTGCTGGAGCGTGAATCAGAGACCCAGGAAGCCCCACAGCCTGTGCGCTGAGCCTGCAGAGAATCCTCAGCCTGAGTCTAGATAGGGAATGGGAGGGAGGACCCACTCTCCAGGGAACCAGAGGCCCTCCAGGGAAATGTTGGGATTCAAACATGGTGGGTCACCCCAAGAGAGGTCTCCCTGTGCCCGCTCACAGGGCAGGCTTGCAGAAACCTTCACTGTCACGGAGACAGCTTTCCCAGGAGAATCCTCTGTTCTCCTCTCTCTTTTCTCTTGGCTTCCTAGACAAAAGCTCCTCCCTAAACTGGTTCTATCCAGCCCAAAGCTGGGACCTGTTTGGGCTTGTCTCTCCTTCCTCAGGCAGGGTTCCTGCTAAGCTCCACGAGTTTGGTCTCTATTGTCTTTATTCTCTGAACAAGTTTTCCCTGCGACCCTCCTACTCTCTCATGAAGCAGGCTGCAGGGAGATCTTAAGGGCAAATGCATCTTCACCCTCCTATCCCCAACAGTTCTCCATACACTGACCTTGATGACTATGCTATGAGGCCAGAAATAAAAGATCCATCTCAGAGATACGGGCAATAATGCTGTGGGGTTTTTGTTTCTGGGGCCACACCTGGTGGTTCTCAGGCTTTAACCCTGGTTCTGGGCTCAGGATCACACCTAGTGAGCTCAGGAGACCCCCATGGGGTCCTGGGGATTGAACCTGAGTCAGTTACATGCAAAGCAAGCACCTTACCTGGTCTACTATCACTCCTGGCCCCGGTGTGGAGTTCTCAAGGAATGGAGTCAGAATATATACAAGCCTTCCTGGAGGAGAGGGACCACGGACAAGAATCTTAAAACATAACTTGCCAGAGGGGTTGGAGTGACAGTACAGAGGGAAGGGCATTTGCTCTGCACAAGGCCAACCTGGGGCTGATCCCTGGCATCCCATATTTCTGAGTGCAGAGCCAGGCGTAACCTCTAAGTATCTCTGGGTGTGGCTAAAAACCCCAAAATAAATAAATAAATAAAAGAAGAAGAATTCACCAGAGCCAGAGTGATAGGTGTGGCTTGAAAACAGAAACCACAACAAAAATGGGGACTGGAGAGACAATACAGTGGGTTAGGCACTTGCCTTACATGTGGCCAATCAGGGTTTGATCCTAGGTAACTCCATATGCCCCATGCCCCCAACCTTGCCAGGAGTGAGCCCAGAGCCCAGAGCCAAGAGTAAGCTCTGATCACAGCCAGGTATGACCAAAAAACAAATAAAAGAATAAAGTGACCTCATGTCCTTTGTGCCCCTGTGGCTGCAACCTAAACTGCCATCAAGTGTCCAGTGAGGTTATGACTGCCTGCGAGCACCCAGCATTGGGCCTATGCCATGGCCCAGTAAAGGTCTGTGGACTGTAGTGATGGATGAATGAGGGAAGGAAGATGTGACGAGCTCTTTGGCTAAACCGGGAAGCAGTCCTGCTCCTAGGCCATCAGATCCTTTGAGGCCTCTAAAATCCCTAGTGCCCTACATTTGCTCTCAGGTATGAGGAAAGGCGGCTGAGAAGGAATGGCACTTACTTTCAGGAGTCTAGCTGAGCCCTCTGCTTGCCGCTGCAATCAGCAGAAAGTGGGTCACGGAGCAGCTGTGCAGAGCTGAGCCCCTTGAGGAAGGGCCTGGATTCCATGTTAACTCACACTTTTGGAGGGTGCCTACTGTACATCAGCTGTGGTCACATAGCCGTAGTTCATTTGATTGTCTCTGCGAAAGGCTCTGCTGTCTGAGAACAAACGCGGTGGGGATCAGGTCTAGTCACCGCGCTCTCTGGGTTTTCATTTTCCATCTCAGTACAAAGGAAACAATAGAACCACTTCGCTACGTCTGGGAAAGAAGAGTACATGAAAGCAGAGCACTTCATAACTGCTGGTTGATATTGTTCCTCTGGGCACAGAACTGCTCGCTTCCACACCCCCACCCCCACCCCGCCCGGGCGCACACGCAGGCATGACCACACTCCCACGTACACGCAGATGCACAGAGACTTGTGCAAAGTCAATAGGAGAAACTCAGAACCAGGCCACCGACCGGCTGCACCGGGAAGCCGTCGAATCCTCAGCTTCCCTCCTTTTCACTCAGCACTCTTTATGAATGAACTCCGGCCGCGCGGAGGTGATTTTTTTTTTTTTTTATGAATGGGAGCTCAGGCCGTGAATGAAGCCCGGAGCCAGCCCCTGCGTTCTGATTGGCTCCCGCGGCTGGGAAACTCCGCCCCTCACTAGGTCGGGCGAGCGTCCCGATTGGCTGGCGTGCCCGGCCCTGGGGTTTCATTCACAAAAGTCAATGAAACAAAGGGAACGGGGTGGTGGTGAGGGGGGTGCGGGAGGGGGGGTAAGAGAGCCGAGGCCGAGGCGAAGGAAATGCACCAATCAGCAGCTCCCCGGGGCTCACAACTGTCGGCGGCGCCGGGAAAACAAGCCGGTGCGCGGGGTACCCCGGGCCGGGGCAACCTCGCTCCGGCCTAGCCCCGCGGCCCTCGGTGCCGGCCCCGGGGCATGCTCCGAGCCCCCGCGGCTCCAGCACTGACGCCCCGGCCTCAGGTGAGGCTGCGGGAAGGGAGGGACGGAGAATGTTTGTGATTCCCCCGCCTCGCTCCAGCACCCCCCCCCGCCCCCCACTCGCCGCCGCCTCCGCAGATTCCTAGGCCGGGGTGGGGGTGGGGGTAAGAGGCGCGATGATTTAGGGCTGGAGGGGGCGCGGGAGCTGTGGGCGTGCGAATGGTGCGCGCCTCGGCCTCAGCGCTCGAGCTCACACACACATACACGCACACACAGACACACGCGCGCGCACACACATGCACACACGCACACACACATGTCTTATGTAACTGAGCTCGGGCAGAGCGGAGCTGCAGAAAGCGACCGAAGCCGGCTCCCAGGAGCAGGTGGGACGGTCTCCCTCCTTTGGCGGGAGGGGAGCGGTGGCGGCCCCCAGCTCGGGGCCGGAGTGAGTCGGAGAAGTTTTGCCGTCGGGCGCCGAGCCCCGACCCCGCTCCCGCCGCGCAGCCCTGACCCGCCCCCACCGCCGCTTTCCCAGGACTGTGCGCGGACGCGGACCCCTCCCCCCGCCAGGTCTCTGCCCCCGCGCGGGGCCCGCGCCGCGCGGCCGGAGGGAGCGGCCGGATGGATCGGAGGATGAAAGGCGGATACTTGGACCAGCAAGTGCCCTACACCTTCAGCAGCGTGAGCGCCGCGCCGGCCTCCACGCCCGCCCCCGCCCCACACCCCGCCCCCGCCTGCCGGCGAACCCTGCCCCGCCAGACCTGCCTGCGGGGGCCCCAGTCTCCCCGGCCCCCGAATCACCCCGGGACCCCGGCCCCGCCCCCATACCAGGTGGCCCAGGGTGACCTGGGGGCATTCCTCCCCCTCTCCGCAGAAATCGCCCGGAAATGGAATCTTGCGCGAAGCTCTGATGGTCCCGCAGGGGAAGCTCATGGACCCGGGCTCCCTGCCGCCCCCCGACTCCGAAGGTAAAGAACTGGAAGGACTAACTGACTCCCCCTGTCACACACGCACATGCACGCGCGCGCGTACACACACACACACACACACACACACACACACACACACACACACTTGGAGCTCTGCGCACTTTCCCCCTAAACATTCGCCCACTTAATTCTCTGCCTCTACCCCCGACGGGGGCGGCGGTCCCCCCACCCGGCAGCTACGGTTCCCTTTCTCCCAACATCACCCCGCCTCACCTTCTCCAATTCCATTATTCACCCCTCAGATCTCTTCCAGGATCTCAGCCACTTTCAGGAGACGTGGCTGGCTGAAGGTGAGTAGTTTTGTGACCTTTTTACTGGGGTGGGAGGTGCGCCCCATCGCTGATCCAACCTGGCCCTCCTGCTGTCCTTGCACCCCCTTCATCCCCGAGCTCGCCAAGCCCCCCACTCCCCAAGTCCGCTGCCTCCTGCGCTCCCCAGGGCCCAGTGTGGACACTTATATTGATATTTATTTTCCCTGCCCTGAGCCAGGCTTGTGTAACTAGGCCTGGGGATGAATCAGACCATTGTGTGGGGTATTTGCTTATTTGAATGGAACTTGGCCCCAGGCCCGTTTTCCTGGTTGAAATTTTCATTTGCAAAGTTTGTTTGCTGCAGCTACCCCGCCAAGGTGTGTTTTGGGGTGGGGGTGGAGCGACCAGAGGGTGAAACGCGATTCCTTACCTATTTTCGGGAGTTGCCAAAATATTTATTTTTACTTTACCCTCTTGGTTTCTCTTCTTTCCAAACCTCAGTGCCAAACAATTTAGCATCTGAGCCAAAAGATCAACAAAAGTTTATTCTTTTTTTTTTTTGCAGCACTTTGAAAAGAGGGAACAGCCCCTCAAACTTCTCCCCCTAAACCCCCCCCCACCTTGATTATAATTCTGATGACCACAGATTCTCCCTTCTCCATTCCTTCTGAATACCTCCAACCCCGGCAAAATTCTCCTTTGTATGCTGGGGAATTTGCTGTGAGCTGACTAGGGAGGTGTATTCTGGGGGTGCCCCAATTGAATTCATGGGTGTGTTTTGGTGGGGCCTGAGAGTGTCACTGGTGGGACTGCAGATTGGAGACAGATAGGGTTGGACAGCCTTGGAGAGGGTAGGGTTAACGGCCCCATCTTAGAGTCTCTTTAGTTTAACTCTTAAAACCGAGGCAGCTGAACATATCCTATCACTAAGGGTATTTTTTCTCTTCCTTCCGATTACCCCATTCCTCTACTTTAGGGTATTTTTGGTGATTTTTTTTAAAATACTCAAACCCAGTCCTCTGGAACCTTCTATAAAAGCTTTGGGGTAAAAGGAAAGGACCCCTGATTAGGTCTTCAGAGCGATCCTAGATCTGTCTTGACCACAAAATAGATGCATTAGCACAGTGACTCGAATAGAGCAAAGACATTTTGCGGACTTTGTGGCTGAGTGACCACTCTGGGTGCTGGGGGAGATTCTGGGGATATGATACACATCTGTCCTGCCTCTGCAAACCCTTCACGGCCAGCTCCAGGCGCGGTCCAGGCGAGCTTTGCCTGGCGCGCCCATCCTCCTCCCGAGGTTCCGGCCGCTCCGGGCTGAAGATCACAGAGGTGTCAGTTTCCAGGGGCTCAGAGACTTCCTTTCCCCACGCCAGCTCTCTGGCCGGTCCTCTGGGCTCCTTCTGTCCGCAGAGGGTCCCTGAGTTTCTGCAGTGGGCAGCTCCTGGGGCTGTGATTGGGGGTAGGCTCGGCGCCGAGGGCGTTTTTCAGCAGCAGTGGGTCCATTTGGGGGTGTGGGGGGTTGGCAGGGGAAAGGCGGTGGGGGTGGGGGTTGGGGGGGTTGCTTTGCTCAACCTTGGCTGCCCCACCCCCTTGGTGGTGGGGTCTCCAGAGAGTCCGTGTCTCTGTGTCAGTGTGTGAGTGAGGCGTGTTGGTGTCTTATTGCTGCCCTGGGAGTCCCTGGACATTTAAATCCAGTGGGTGGGGAGGTGGGGTGGGGGTGGGGGTGCTCTGGGATCTCCTTGGTTCCCTGTCCTTCCTTCTGAGGGAGCAGCTCAGGTTCCCGGCTGCCAGTGGATGGCCAGGCCTGAGGGGGGATGCTGAGGCCGCCTGCTCTTTCCCACTCTCTCTGCGGAGACAGATGCAGCTGCCGGGGCCCTGTGCCCCTGCACCACCCCACCAGCACCCCAGTCTCCTCTCCTGCCTCTTCCCACCAGGTCAGTGACCCCTGCTACCCAGGGGGAGCTTTGGGGGGCTAGGGGGGTTAGTGGCGGAGGGGGAAGGAATCCGCTTCTTTGGACTCTTGCCAGAGGTGGGGCACATCAGGAAGAATGGGGGGGCTGGTATCTTCCTAAAGGCCCAGATTGCAGAGAAGCGGAGGGGGGGGTCAGTGGTGTTGGGGGGGTGGAGCTGTGAAAACTGGGGGGGATGCCCAGGTTGAATCTGAGTGGATGCGGTTGTGGGTCCAGAGTCCGGAGTCCAGGCATCTTTGGGGTGAGTGTGAGTGGACTCTGTAGAAGGGGGATCAGGGTTTTTATAAACATTGGGGAGGGATGAAGTAAGGCTCAAAGGGTGTGTCAGATTTGGGAGTGTCTGGGTTCTGCCGAATTGCTGGAGAAAGACTCAGCATGTTGAACCCAGGCGGTGTCTAGTTATGGTCAAAGATGCGCTGCTTCCAGCCAGGGGGCTTTCTTAATTTATTGGGGGCTCTCAGGAGCTCCAAGGACAATGGTGTGGTGACTTTGGCAGAAAGGAACAGTGGCTTCATGTGTTCCTAGGACCTGAGGGGTGTCTCCAGATGCCCCTATCCCCATAGGTAGTTTTCCAGGGTATTTGAACCAAGGCGTCTCTTGCTTTTGTGTGTAAAATTGTTGGGGAGAACGATCCCTAAAGGAATATGATGTTTCTAGGGAGAATGTGACCCCTCGCTTTGTGGGCCACTCAGGGTGGCTCTGTGGCCCCCTTTCTGTCGCATTGCTGCTCCTAAATGTTCCTTGGGCTCTCCAGCCCCTTTGCGCTTTTTTTTTTTCTCTCCCCCAATCACCCTGCCCCATGTTTGTCAGTCCAAAAAGAGACCCTGGGTGTGTGGGGGTGTATGTAAAAATGGTGCATTTTTCTTGGGGGCTGCCCTGAAGTCAAAGGGTTTGGGGGTGTGGGTCTGGTATAGGATCTCATGGGAGGTTTGTCTTTGGGGGAGAAATGGAGTTCATCCCCTTCCCCCATTCTTTCTAGTCACAATGCCTCCTTCTCCATCTCTCTACCTCCTCCCCTTCCAGAAAGCTCTTGGGGACAAATGTCCCCTCCACGGAGACAGAACTGGTTCCTTCCAGCACAGAGGCAGTTAGGAGGGGGCAGGATAAGGGTGAGAGGCAGGCCAGTGCTGACAATGGAACACAGGGGAATGCCCCCCCAAACCCAGATTCCCCTTCATCCTTAAAGTGGGAGTGTGAAGGGGCAGACTTAATGCTGAGAGGTGTCTGAACCAGAGTGCCGCTGTTGGATCCTCTGGGATGTCCCGCAGCCCAGCTTGGGAGGGCCCTAGACCCCTCTTGGAGGAATCATCTTTAAAATTCTCTCTGGGCATGATGCTGGCCTGGCTCTGCTCCCAGGCTCCCCACCCAGGCAGATAAGCTCCACCTTCATGCCAGGATGGAGTCAGGGGACACAGGCTGGCGGCCACAACACCGCCTCTTTCACAAAGAGTATGGCATGCACGCAAGACCAAACATGGTGTGAGAAGTTCTCCCGCTCTCCAGGAACGCTGGCTTGGGCTGCTGCAGTGCCTATTTCTAGCCTTGTTGATAGTCTCAGAGCCCTGAGGCCCGGGCCTGCCCCTCTGGGTAGTGGGAAGCGGCTCTATTTGGGAGGGGCCAGGCAGGTGGGGCTTAGGCACTCCCAGATGGCTCAGGGCTCTGGGGAGTGGGGTGGTCTGCAGGCTGTGGGTGGTCTCCTCTGCCAGGGGGGGCTGTGGTCACCTTTAGGCCTGAGGTGGGAGGAAAGCTCGCCGACCCTCTAGAGCTCGCGGGCATCATGTGACCCGCCCTCTGACGCCAGTAAGAGGTGCCCCCAGCCCATTACCTCAGTGGAAACTGGCAGCTAATGAAGCCCCAGAGGGGCCCAGAGTGCGTCAGCCTCCCCCAAGTTCTGCACCCTCCCTGCCCTCGGGACCACCCGCCTCCCCCTTGTCTCGGTAGCAGGGAGGGGAGACTTACTCATCCTCCTCCATCCCCCCATCCTGCCACTGTTGGTGGGACCTGTGGGCTCAGCAGGAGGAGCTTGGGGCGCCGAGCATGATGGCCTCCATTAATCCCGTTTCCCATGCCCGCTTTGCTGGGGGCTGAAACCCGTGGAGTGGGTGTGTGAGGGGTGAGACTTTGCAGGGGAGGATACTGTTGCTGTGGCCAGTGGCAGGGACCACACCTAGTGGTGTCTAGGTGTGGGGGGGGCATGCAGCAGTGAGGATTGAACCCCCCACCTTGCACACGTAGCAACTGTACGCCAGTCTTGAACCCACACCCCCCTCCCCCGCCACAGCACCAGTCCCCACGAGGCCTCAGCAGCACCCCAACCTTGCTTGCTCTCCTGAAAAGAAGTGAGAAGTCTTTGTGTTTGCTAAGGAATTTTCTTTTCTGCTGATGATCACTTGAGAATTCTTTATTGTGTGTCTGTGTCTGTGTGTGCTGGGGCCACACCCAGCAGTTTTCAGGGGCTCCTCCAAGCAGCCCAAATGCTTGGGGGTTACCCCCGTTGTTGCTTAGGGTGGGGAGCAGGGGTGGGGCGGGGAGGTGGGGAAATACCTTGCAGACTCAGGATCATGTGCTCCATCCTTTGAGCTGTTTCCCAGGCTTCAAGAACTGCTTTCGATGAGTTTCTTTCTCATCAGTTGTTCAGTAAATACCCCTGGCAGCTAAATTCTTCAAGCTCCCCACCCCCACCCCCTAACCCCTTGCCTCTCCTGACAAGAAGTTGATAGTGTTTGAAGTGATCTGAAATGCGATTGGCACTTCTGATATTTAAAACAGTTGGGTGAGGGCTAGAGAGAAAGAGTACAGCAGGTTCGGCTCTTGCCTTCCATGTGGCAGACCCAGGTTCAATCCCCAATGTCCGGTCTGGTCCCCTGAGTTCAACCAGGAGTGGTCACTGGGCACAGAGTCGGGAGTACGCCCTGAGCACTGCTGGGTATGACCCCCAAACTAATAAAGAAAACAAGTTGGCGAATCAGCCCTCTTGGTCCTCACCTCTTCTGATGTGCTGGGGCTCGGCAGGGAGCGGGGGCTTGGGGGGAGTTGATAGAGGGTCAGCATCTCTCCTGTTCTTGCTCCCCGGCCCACTGTTGGATTGTGAGGGCTGACCTATGGAACAAAGACTGCTTTGAGGCAGACCAGTTCTGGGACAGAACGACAGAGCAAACCCCTGGCGTATGGGAACTTCAGGTCTGGGTGTAAACCAGGCAAACACGGATGTGTCAGCTCCACCCAGGCAGTCTGTGGGGGCAAAGGATGCTAGGGGATGTGACCAAGATTCCGTGCCAGAGTTCGGGCAGGCTCGGGAGTCTGGGAGCTAAGACTTCAGCAGCCAGAAAGAACAGGCAGTCCAAGGTGGCAGGGGATGGGGAAGGGGGGTGGAGGGAAACAGCTCTGCTCAGACCTGAGAACTCAGATGGAGACAGAACTCTGGAGATGGACGGGTTATGGGGCCAGCAGGGCCAGGCAGAGGGGCCATGAAGGCCGTTTGGGGCCCCTACTTGAAGCAAGAGAGAGAGATAGTGATGGGTGATCCCGGGCAGCTTTGTAGAGAACAATGGATGGTGGGAGGCGGGAGTGGGAGTGGGGAGTTCAGTTAAGAGGCCATGGCTGGGGTCCAAATAGGAAATGCTGGTGCCTTGGCCCAGGAGGGAAGGAGCTGGTGGACAAATCTGCATGCACATGAGCGTGTGTTGGGGTTGCTTGTTCAAGGTTAGGAGCGTGGATGGGACCTCCAGCCTCTACCACTCTGTCCCGTGTCCCGTTTCAACTCTCCATCAGCTTCTCCACTGTCTGCTTTTTTTTTCTTTCTTTCTTTCTTTCTTTTTTTTTTTTTTTTTTTTTTTTTTTGCTTTTTGAGTCATACCCGGCGATGCTTAGGCATTGGTTACTCCTGGCTCTGCACTCAGGAATCTATGGGTTTCTTTCTCATCAGTTGTTCAGTAAATGCCCCTGGCGGTGCTCAGGGGACCATATGGGATGCTGGGAATTGAACCCGGGTCAGCCGTATACAAGGCAAACACCCAACCTGCTGTGCTATTGCTCCAGCCTCTCCACTGTCTGCTTTGAGAGTCCAGTTTCCCTGGGTTCTGATCCTCTCCTGCCACTACCCAACCCCCAGTCTGGTCTGAGCCCCTCTATTCAAGTTCAGAATCTACCCTTCACTCTCCCTGATGCCATCTGGGTTCCTGAGAAGGGGAGGTGGAAGCCGTGGGGAAGGCCAGGAATAAACTAGAAATCAGTCTGGCGTTGTGGTTGGTGCAGAGGTCTGGTGCTGCCGCTGGAGTTTTTCTACCTGAGCCCCAAGCCCAGCTCAGCCTATGCTGGCCCCTGGGCTGCCCCTCAGATCCCCCCGGGTTTCTGTGCTCTGCACGTTGCCCATCCAAGGGATAAGGCCCTGAGCTAGCATGTCCCAGGCCGCCTCGCATCTCCTTTTGAGAGCATCCTGCGCCTGCTCCGACACTTATCTGGCTCAGTTTCACTTAGGGGTTTAAAGGCCAGAGAGAGGGCTCAGCCGAGCGGGCGTTTGCCTTGCCCAGGACCAACCTGGGTTCGATCCCAGCACCCCATACGGTCCTTCCAAGCAGTGTCAGGAGTGATCCCTGGGCAGAGAGTCAAGTAAGACCTGAGTACTGCCATGTGTGGCCCTAAAACCAAGCCAAACAAAAGTAAAGTAGAGATTCCTGAGTGCAGATACTGGCTCCACGGAGTCTTCGCCTCCCCCTGGGGCCTGGGCTCTGAGCACTGAGGGAAATCTGTAGAAGCCACTTTGGGTACCTCAGAAACATGGAGAGAATAGAAACAAAGTAGCTAGGAAAAGACCCTGGAATCTGCTTGGACAGGTTCTGAGACCTGCAGAGCCTCCCGTTCAGAGGGTTGCAGGGCCCAGGTGGTCTTGCCCTGGGCCTGAAAGGCTGGTTCTCCACCCCCACCCCTTCACCCCATGCTGAGCTCTAATAAAAGGTTTCTGCAGGGCTGCCACCCAAGGCTCCCATCCCCCACTCACCTCTGACCCCTCTCTGCAGCTCAGGTACCTGACAGTGATGAGCAGTTTGTTCCTGATTTCCATGCTGAGAATTGTGAGTAGGGGACTGGGGGTTGTGGGATGGGGAGGGCAAGGGGAGGGACCGGAAGTGCGTCACCTGTATTGAGCTAGCAGAACAGTGAGTGGGGTCAAGAGATGGGGGGGGCGCTCCCCTTGAACACCGCAGGATCAATCCCTGGCACCCCATATAGTTCCCTGCGCCCTCCAGGAGTGACCCCAGAGCACAGCAGCGTGGCCCCAAACCAACCGAACGACAATCAAAAGTAGAACAGCAAGTTCCTTCCTAAAGAAAAGGGGGAGTGCATATTTGCCTTGCACTCTGCCGACCCAGTTTCAATCCCTGGCATCCCATATAGTCCCCTTGAGTAGCAGGAGGAATCCCTGAGTTGGAGGGAAGGGGGAAGGAAAGGAAGGGGTGAATGCATGGCTCCTCATTTTGGGTTTTGGATACAAAGCCTCAGGCCATCACTGAGTGATGAAGGCCTTGGTTCCTGTGGGGACTTCCCATTCTAGCTGTGTGACTTCAGAACTCACGCTTTGCACTGTCTGATCCTTTGTTTCCTATTTTTGAAATAAGGGATTTGGACCAATTTCTCAAGGCCTAGGTCTAACATTCTGAGTTACTTTCATGCAATTTAGGAGACTAAGATGCACAGAGCCAATGCAGTCAGTGTCACCAGTTGGTGACTATGTCTGTAGGCATTTTTGATTGTCACAACTTGGGGTAAAAGGGAGCTGTCACACTCCATGGATAGAAGCCAGGGTATTCGCTAAACAGCCTACAACCACACACACAACACTCAGCCACACACAACACACACATACTCATACACTCATAGAGCCACATATGCTCATACACACTCATACATACTTACACACACACACACAGACACACACACGCCCTTTCTCTTTCATTAACAACCACATCTAGATCACATGCCACATGTCAGTAATTCTGCTACTGAGAAACTTTGCTTTACTGTCACTGTCCTCAGGAGTGTGCTCCAATGGGATGAAAAAGGACACAACTAATGAGAACAGCAGCTTATAGAACCGTGTGTGATTTTCTGCAAAAAGCAAAATATCAGGGCCTGAGCAATAGTACAGTGGGGCAGACTCTTTTGCCTTGCATGCAGTCGACCCGGGTTAGACAGTTTCTTTGGTAAATTGGGGACATCGATTTGACACCTACAACCGGTGTCACGACAGTAGTCCTACTGTTTTGAGAAGCGGCTGACCACATACGTCTGAAAACGAAAAATTGAAGGGCAGAGGCAGTCTGGGGTTCCCCACTGGTCCTTTAGAAGTGGAAGCAGCCTGTCCTGCCTCTTTTTTTTTTCTTTTTGGGTCGGTGATGCTCAGGGGTTACTCCTGGCTTTGCATTCAGGAATCACTCCTGGTGGTACTTAGGGGACCATGTAGGATGCTGGGAATTGAACCTGGGCCAGCCACATGCAAGGCAAATGCCCTACCCACTGTGCTATTGCTCCAGCCCTCTGTCCTGCCTGCCTCTTGAGGGACACCCTGGGACTTGACTTTGCTCTGCTCTCCCCTGCTCCCCCCCTACCCCCTGCAGTAGCCTTCCACAGCCCCACCACCAGGATCAAGAAGGAGCCCCGGAGTCCCCGCACAGAGCCAGCTGTTCCCTGCAGCAGGAAGCTGCCGCGGCCCTACCATGGCGAGCAGTGCCTTTATTCCAGGTGAGGACCTTGGGACCAGGAAGGCCTGGGGCCAGGAGTGGCACCCGGGGCTGGAACGTGCGCCTCTGACCATTCGTTGCCTTTGTGGTGAGATACAGCAGAGGTGTGCAAACTTGGAAGGGAACAAAGACTCAGAGTCTCCTCGGAAAGACTTAAGTGTCCTAGGGCCCGCGTGTGGCTCATGGAACAGTATCTGTCCCTCCTTGGCCAGGTACTGGGGGCCGGGTGCAGCTCCTTGGTAGAGCACAGCCCCCTCCACCCCCCCTCTACGGTTCCATTCCCTTTCTACCCTCCAAGAATGGGGACTTCTGAGAGTTCCTGGGCCTGAGTGTGGCCTCTGCAATTCCTTGCCCAGCTCCTCTCCCCCTTTCTTCTCCCTTAGTCCCCGTGACGTCACTTCCCCTGGGAGGAAGGGTTCAAAGATGTTCGTCCTGTTTCTCTGCCCTTCCCTTGCCTCCCCCTCAACTCCAGTGCCTATGACCCCCCTAGACAAATCACCATCAAGTCTCCTGCCCCTGGTGCCCCCGGACAGTCACCCCTGCAGCCTTTCACCCGGGCAGAACAACGGAATTTCCTGAGATCTTCTAGTGCCACCCAGCCCCATCCTGGCCATGGGTACCTCGGGGAGCACAGGTAAGGACCCAGCCCACAGGGGGTCCCGCCATCCCTGAGTATTCTTGGGAGTGGCAGGCACTGCGGTGAAAGGGCTTCATTTAATACTCTCTGCTCTGCCTTCTCCAGCTCCGTCTTCCAGCAACCCCTGGACATTGGCCACTCCTTTGCATCCTCTCAGGGAGGGGCCCGGGACCCCCTCCCAGGCCCCTACCAACACCAGCTGTCGGAGCCCTGCCCGCCCTACCCGCAGCAGAGCTTCAAGCAGGAATATCTTGACCCCCTATATGAGCAGGCGGGCCAGCCCCCCGTGGGCCAGGGAGGGGCCAGTGGGCACAGGTACCCAGGGGTGGGGGTGGTGATCAAACAGGAACAGACGGACTTCGCCTACGACTCAGGTGAGACATCTTGCTTCTGAGGTTGGGGGGAGGAGTTGGGGGGAGGCATTGCAGGGTTGGGTGGCATGGGATGGGGTGAACCCACATAGTTTTTGGTATGTTACCATCCAGATTCAAAAGAATAGTCATTTACTTTGTGGGGGGAGGGGGGCAGGGTTCGTGCACCCGGCAGTGCTCAGGGATCACTGTTGGTGATGTTGAGGGACGCCCAGTGGAGTACTAGGGATCAAACCTGGGTCGGCTGCATGTAAGGCATACGCTTCCTACCCACGGGACTGTCTCTCAGGTCCTGGAATGGACATTTTCTTTATGCCTGTGTGTGTTTGTGTCTGTGTGTGTGGAAGGGGGAGGATTATGGGGGACGTTGTCACACCCAGGGGTACTCCTAGGCTACTCCCAGCCCTATGCTCGGGAATTGCTCCCAGCAGTAATACCAGAAATTGAACCTGAGTTGTCCATGTGAGAAGCATGCACTCGGCAAATCCAGTTCTCTTTTCTTGTTCGTTTTTTGGTACTTTTTGGGGTACCAAAAAATAGCTCGGGGTGCTACTCCAGCCCAGTGCTCATGGGACCAGGCAGTACTAGGGACTAAACCCAGGAATTCCTGCTTGGGCCCTGCCCCAGAGTCATCTTTCTAAACCAAATTTCCAAAATCTCTACCCCCTGTTCCTCTTCTCCCCCTCCACCCCCCCGCCCCCCTTGCTGAGGGTTGAATCTAATCCAGGTCTCATGCAAGCAAGACATACTTCACCGTTGATCCATGTCCTTGGATGTTTGGAATTATTTTTAATGTTTATTTGGGGGATGGGGCCCACCGGCTAGTGCTCAGGGATCCTTGTGGTGGTGTTCAGGGAACCAGGAATGTCGTTCTGGAGATCGAACTCTAGGTTGGTCACATGCAAGGCGAGTGCCTTAACACCCAATATTGTCCTTCCCCCCCCCCCTCATTTGGGGTCTTAATGACCTCCAAAGTACAGTCCCTCGTATAGAGGGTGAGAGATGGCTCCAACATCTCTGAGCCCTGGCTCACAAGCTTAAATCCAAAGAGATTTGGTGGAAGAGAAGCAGCAGCTCAAAGCTAGCCACACCCCGGTGCCTAGTAGAATGGTGCCTAGTAGAATGCGGCGCTTCTAGGCGTTTTCCACATCCTGCTTGAGTCCCCAGTTAGACTACCCACTGTCCTGGCCAGGAGTGTGTCCTGGACTGCTTGTCCATTTTTTTTTTTTTTGCGGGGGGGGGGGGAATGCTATAGCCTCAGACACAGGAAACATTGGTAGCATGGCTTCCTCCGGGCCCCAGGAGGGATGCCTCTCTATTCTCGCTCCCGGCCCTCGGGGAGTGCGCGCTCTCGGCCCTAAATGGGTCCACATCCCAGCCTGCAGCCCCGAGGGAGACGCGTCCTTCCACCGCGGCTTCTGCTACTCGGTTACTCTGTTACGGGCGGCGGATCCGAGTTTCTCCGCAAACTTGCATTAGAGCGATCAATTCGCCACGGGCGAGAGCAGCTTCTGAGTTTCTCTTTTCCCGGGGCCTCGTCTGCGTCGGTGGGTGAGCGGCGAGGCTGCGGGGCCGGGAGGGCTGTGCGCCGACCTTCAGCGGCCGCGGCCCCGAGGCCCGGCATCGGGTTACGTGCCCTTGAACTCCCGCCCCCTCCCTCGGCTTCCTGTGAATGGAGTCAGGAATTCCATTCACAAAATGGAGGCTTGAATGGGCCCGGCCTCCGCCCACTCCCGGAGGTGTCGGGTTTCAGCGCCGCCGCCTCGCTAGGTGGGAGCCGTGCGCGGCCGCCCGCTCGGGCCGGGCTGGGAAGCCGAGGGCTGGGGTGCAATATGCTCTGCTAGCGAGCCCAAGCCGCGAGTACCGCCGCCCCAGAGCATGGTCTGTCGGTCTGTCTGTTCCTCTGTCCGCCCATCCCTGCTGGGAACCTGACCTACCCACCGGACCTTCGTCCAATTCCAAGGGAGTCATACGTGGACACTGAACCCTTTGCCCGGAGGTTCCTCCTACCCCTCCCTCCTTGCCCCCAAGACTCGCAGGAAGCAGCTGCTCCCTGGAATCTTGGCCCCGGGAGGCAGCTTGGCCCAGCCCTCAGCTGCTGCCGCCCATGCCCTCGGGCCTAGCCCTCGAGCTGAGGGGCTCAGGCCTGGCACTCCCACTGCCTGGGTGGCAGGCGGGCAGCTGGGCAGCCAGCTGGAAGCCCGGCTAGCAGGGAGATCTTGGATGTGTGTGGGGCTCCCGCCCTCACTACCACCACCTCCCATTGTCTTTTCTTTCCCGCAGATGTCCCGGGGTGCACCTCCATGTACCTCCACAGCGAGGGTTTCTCAGGGCCCCCCCTTGGGGACGGCAGCGTGGGTAAGACACTCCTATTGGTCCTGTTCCCCACTCCCCCCCCCTTCCAGCTGGAGGAGAGTCCTGCATGGGGGATGGGGGGCTCCTTGATCAGGAGTCTCCCAGAATCCTAATAGCAAACCCACAGATCTGAGTGACCCCCCCTCCACCCCACTTCTCCTTAAGGTTACAGCTATGAGAAACCGCTGCGACCATTCCCAGATGATGTGTGTGTCGTCCCTGAGAAATTTGAAGGTCAGAGGAATTCCTGAGAGGGGGTCTTAGCCTTTCTTCTGCTGGTGTATCCCTAGGAATCACACTTGGCATAACCTGGCAAAGGGCCTGCAGACACCTGGGAGAGGGAAGAGGCTGGTTGGCCCAGACCCCTCAACTCCTACTTTGCTCTTCCCAGGAGACATCAAGCAGGAAGGGGTTGGAGCGTTTCGAGATGGGCCACCCTACCAGCGCCGGGGCGCACTGCAGCTCTGGCAGTTCCTGGTGGCCCTGCTGGATGACCCCACCAATGCCCATTTCATTGCCTGGACTGGCCGGGGGATGGAGTTCAAACTAATCGAGCCTGAGGAGGTGAGCCTCTCAGATGTCCCCCCACCTTCCCCTGAAAATCTTCTGGGGTCCGCAGATGGGAACTGAGAAGTGGGAGCAGCACAGGCTTTACCGGACCCGAGTTCCAGTTAGGGGCTGGATCGCAGGGATCACTGCCCATGCTGGCCAAGAAATCTCCAGTGTTCTTTTGGGGAGTGGGGTGGTGGTGGTGTTGGACCACACTCAGCGGTTTCCAGGATTGCTCCTGGCCCCGTGCTCAGGAGACCATATGCAGTTCTGGGGATCCCACTTGGGTCATCAGCAGGCCAGGCAAGCACCTTAACTCCTATCTCTGGCCCCTCAAATGTTCTTTCTGGTTTGGCTTCCATATGCCCTCTGCTGAGCTCAACTTGCCGTCCCCACTTCCTTTTCCTGTGCCCAGGTCGCCCGGCTCTGGGGCATCCAGAAGAACCGGCCAGCCATGAATTACGACAAGCTGAGTCGCTCGCTCCGATACTACTATGAGAAAGGCATCATGCAGAAGGTCAGGCAAAGGATTGGGGACACGAGGGTGGGGCAGGAAAGCACTTCTCAGCAGGCCTGTGGCTCGCCTAAGGTTTCCCAGCTCCCCAAGAATACCAAGCTGAGACTGGAAGTTTCCAGAATCTGGAGAGATTGGGATGAGACCAGAAACCAGAGCGAGCCGGCTTCTTAGCGAAACCAGCAGGGCATACACCTGGGGGGGCTGCCCCTCACCCCTCCCTGGGCGGAGCCTGGGTGATGAGTCCCTTTCTCCACAGGTGGCTGGCGAACGCTACGTATACAAGTTCGTGTGTGAGCCCGAGGCCCTCTTCTCGCTGGCCTTCCCGGACAATCAGCGGCCAGCGCTCAAGGCTGAGTTTGACCGGCCGGTCAGTGAGGAGGACACAGTCCCTTTGTCCCACTTGGACGAGAACCCCGCGTACCTCCCAGAGCTGGCTGGTCCGGCCCAGCCCTTTGGCCCCAAGGGCAGCTACTCCTACTAGCCCTGAGCTAGTAGGGGGCACTGCCCAGTGTACATAGAGCTGTATCTGGCACTGGGAACCCCACACACTGCTGCCCAGAGGTCTTGGGGGCACATCCTATCGCCCACCCTGGCCTATCTCTGAGCTGCTCCCTGGTTACTGGGAACGAAAAGTAGGGACTCTGCCGGGGCAAAGATTGGGTGGGGGGCCCTCAGGCAATTCTGGGGACAGGCCTCTGGTTCCCTCTTAGGTCCTGCTTGGAGGCCCAGACCCCGCTCCCACACCAGAGAACAATTAAAGCGTTCCCACTTAATCCTGGCGGGGATGTGCCCCAGATCTCCCACTATAGGGAGATAAGCCTGGCCCCTGTCTTCTGCTCCCAGCTGTGGCCCTGGACGGTTCTGCCCGTCGATCCTTGGTGCTCTTGTGTTCCCAGAAGCAGGAGGCTGGAGTCGGGACTGTGGGATGTGCAGAGGGTGCTGGGGGGGCAGCAGGGCGGTAGGGCTCCTGCACTTGCCCCCGTGTCTCTCTGCTGTGCCCGGGCCTGGGAATCCACGTCCCCTTCTCCGTGTCTGCCAGGCCCCAATAAAGGTTCCTGCTTCCTTTCGGTTGTGTGTCCTCTTTGCTGCCAGGGGAATGGGCATGCATGTTTTGGAATATGCTCTGGGGAATCCACCCTATTCTCCCCCTCTAGGGGTGGCCTGTGAGTGTCCAGCCCTGCCCGGGAGGCTGGAATGTCTCTGGCCCTGGGCCTGGCAGCCTCCATCCTGGGTGGGGAGGGCTCGGCCCTGAGCTTTGAGGCTTTCCACGGGCTTCCTCAAGGCAGGACCTTGGAGTGGGTTCCCATGACCCCACTATCCATATGTACCCCGTATGTCCCCGTTCAGCCCTGGCTCCACCCAGGTTGCTGGGCAGGAGGGTGCTGGGAGAAGCTGGCGCCGGCCCCAGGTTCCGGCCAGTGGGGGGAACATATTGCTCCCGTCAGGCCAGTAGGGGCCAGTCCCCACTCTGCCCAAATGTGGAGGGGAGCAAAGCCCCAGGGCCACATTTTCTGAGGGGGTGGGGAAGTAGTGTCAGCAAGAGCGGTGACGGCGCAGATGAGGGGGCTGGAGAGGATAGTGGCTAAGGCGCTTGCTTTGCCCACGGCCAAACTAGATTTGGCTTCCTGATCAGTGCCAGGAGGAAGTCCAGAGCATCACTAGGTGTGGCCCAAGACAAAACGAATAAGCACATCCATTTTCCTCCAGAAACTTAAAATATGCTGTGCTGGCTTTCTGCACACCAGGAGACGGGACAGAAAAAAATGTTAAATGCCGGTTTGGAAAACTAGATAGACTTTAATTAATTCCACATTCCAATCAGGCTGTCATGGAGAGGAGGAGTAAGTAAAACCCCAAACCCTAGGGGCATGGGGCAGAGATCATGTAGCGGACAGGGCACTTGCCTTGTACACGGCTCGCCTGGATTTAATCCCCACCATCCCAAATGCTTCCCTGAGCACTGCAAGGGTGATCCCCGAGCACCGCTGGGCCTGGCACCCAAACCCAAACAAAGAAGGAACTTTGAGGCTGAGCTCTTCGCCCCCTACGGTGCCCAAACAAGCTCTCACTGCTTTGCTGCTCGCCTGCTGCCACTCGCAGGGCACCTGGGAGCTCCACCCACCCCGGGGACAGCTCGGAACAAAGCAGTCGTGGACTGTGTGAAGGTCCATCTGGATGCAGGGTCCTGCCCGGGCATAACTGACAGCTGCCCGCCCTGTGTACCAGCAAGCACCAGGGCAGCAGCAGGAAACGCCAGAGCTGGGTTCCCGCAGAGTTGGGATGAACAGCTTATTTTCATGGCCGAGAAGATTCCAGCTCCCTGCACGAGACCCACATCCTCTCCTGCACTGTCACTCGATCTTGGCAAACTGCGGTTCAGAGAACAGAAACAAGGACCCCATTGTGTGGGAACAGCAGGCGAGGCCTTTCACTGGCCGCGAGCTAGCTGCTTTCTCCCAGAGAGGCACAGGGTCAGGCCCCAGGCATGTTATCACAGCACTGACCCCAGTTCCTGGGCACGATGTTCAAGGAACACCCACGGAGCTGGGTCCTTGCTGCTCGCCAGCCCTGCTTTCCCGCCCAGGCAAGTTTGCTGTCCCCTTCTCAGACAAAAAACCCAGCCCTTGGAGAAGGAGGACCTCTGAGGAGCCAAAGCCATCAGTGCTGGCCACTGGGGCCAGGCGGGCTACTCAGCCCAATTTGCTCCTGAACTGCACAGAACTGGGTTGGATTAAGCCCAGAGAGCAGAAGATACTGCATATCTCCCTGAAAGATATGAAAAAGACTGGAGAGAGTACTGTGGGTAGGGAGGTTGCCTTGCACGTGGCCGACCCGGGTTTGATCTCTGGCACCCCATAGGTTCCCCTAAGTCCCACCAGAAGTGACCCCTGAGCACTGCTGGGTGTGGCAAAAAAGGGAAGGGGAACACTTGAAAGTTGAGCCTGCAAAGATCCCTGCCCACCCGGAACTACTGCCCTGGGCTTCCGGGGAACAGACCCTCGCTGGGCTTCTGACCGACCCCAGGCCTGCATGCCTCTGGCTGAGTCTTCGGGGCAGCTTCGTGGGCTGCCCATCTGTGGGCCGAGTCACGGTCCAGCACACGATTCCACTGTGGTTCCAGACTTTATGGCAGGATGAGGGAGGTCGCGGGGGTTGTGACTGGATGTGCCCAACCCTTGGGGACTTCTTCAGCAGCTCCGCGTTCAGACCAGTCTCCCACAGTCTGGCCTGGCAGCTTCTGCCGGACGCTCTTCAAGTCCAGAGCTTCCCGGGAACTGGGACGGGGCTGCCAGGATGGGAGGTGCCCCCGTTCCCCACGACTGCTGGGCTGAGGCCACGGAGGAGACCCGGAGCACAGATGCCCGGGCAGTGCCACCCAGCTGAGAGGAAAAGGCTGGTTTTTTGTTTGGGCTGGGGAAGGGGAGGCTTTGACCACAAAAGGCCACTGTTAAAAAGCCCAAAGAGTGACATGGGGGTGGGGGTAGAAACAACACAAAATAAAAATCACGCGTGGCAGGCAGCAACACAGCATACCACGAAAGGAGTGAGGACACAAGGCACCTGGTAGCATGGCGGGCGGGCGGGCACCCCAGGGGCAGTCTGTATGCCACAAGCCTATCTGCAAACGCTCTGGCGTCAGGGTGGACATTGGCAGCCATGTGCCATGGTGCTGACAGGTAAGACTGGAGGCCTAGGGGCCCCGAGAACAAGCTCAGGTTGGGGCACGTGCGACAGCCTGGCCCAAGCAGTACCACTCTGCCAGGTGGCCCCTCCCTCCTGGGGTCTGGGCATCATCTCTGAGTCCAGGCCCCAGGCCCCAGGCGCTGACTTCCCAGGACTCTCCACTCCACCTTCCCAACTCTGTCCAGACCAACAGCCTCACTGTTCAGTTAAAAGAAATCACCACAAACCGTTTCTGTTTCCTTACAAAAATAAATATTTGCAGCAGGAGGTTAAACAAAAGGCCAGAGAGGGGCTGGAGAGGGGCAGGAAGTGGCGCCAACACTTTCTATGGGTATCCCGGCACCTTCTAGACAGTTCAGGACTGGACCAGGTGGCAGCGGCTGCCCTGGGAGTTCCATCCTCGGGCTGAGCCGAGTTGTCCTTTCCATGGGGATGTGTACTTATGCTGACGGTGACACCCTCACCAACTGGCTCCGTGACCTGGGCTGTGGGAGCAGGCGGTTCGGTCACACCAGGAGGAAATCCCTGCTTCTATTTACCACCAGGGAAGAAGTGGGAGTCTGGCTGAGAGAGCGCCCAGTTCAGACACGTATGCACAGGCCAGCTGTTTCCGCACGACCAGCTTTACCCCAGGAAGGAGGCCCAGCCCGGGCCCACCAGCGCACACGAGGCAAACAGACCAGTCTCGCCTTTCAGCGCCGCCGGAAGGCCCGGGAGATTCTCCAGGCGTTGGGCTCCTCGTAGCGGTTATACAGGGGCTCAAGACGCTGCTGCTTCTTCTGCTTGCTTAGTTTCGTTGGGTCGGAGACTTTGAAGAAGGCCGGGGCAAACTCCACGAGCCACCGGGGGTCGATGGTGGTCACCTCACGCATGTACTCCTTCGTCGTCAGCACCAGCTCGTGGTACACCACCCTGCATGAGGGGAAGCATGAGGATGCACATTATCTCAGCCCATGAGATAAGTCCCCCCGTCTCCACTGATACTATCCCTGCTGGCCTCTCCTGCTGACCCCTCCAGGATGGGAGGTCTAAGCTCATGACAGCCACCCCCTCCCCCCCGCCACGACCTCAGGAGAGCTCTCAGAACAGTGTCTTCAAGGACTTCAAGAGATATGGAGGGGCTGGAGTGATAGCACAGCAGGTACGGTGTTTGCCTTGCACGCGGCCAACCTGGGTTCAATACCCAGCATCCCTTATGGTCCCCTGAGCACTGCCAGGAGTAATTCCTGAGTGCAGAGCCAGGAGTAACCCCTGGGCATCACCAGGTGTAAACCAAAAAGCAAAAAAAAAAAAAAAAAGCTACACGGAGCTGGGCAGAGCTCAGCAGGCTGAGCATACATTGCACTGCAGGAGGTCCAGGCTGAGCCCCAGTACCACAAGTCCAGCCAGGAGTGACCCCTAAGTGGTGCTGGGAGTAGCCCAAGCACTGCTGGATGAAGCCCCCTCCCCACCACAAATCCACACCACCTAGAGCTGATCACCATCCCTGGCCCTGTCTCCTGCTGGGAAGCTGGAAGGTGGTTTTCGGGTCATCTCTACTGATCACTCGGGCCCTAGCGAGGGGTTGTCACAGGCATGGGGAAGGGGGGCCAGGCAGGAGAGGCTCTGCATCTCCAACCCATGGGGGCACCATGGCTTTGAATCCACTTTCTATTAGGGTTAAGATTCTAATTTTTGGCTTATTTTGAGTCACACCAAGTGAGTCTTAGGGGACCAGGCAATGTCAGAGATTGAACCTTGGACTTCAGCATGGAAGGGTCTGTGCTCCAGCCTTTGCATTATCTGCCTGAGATTCCAGTTTCTTAGGGTTGGAGAGGTAGTACAGTGGCCAATAGTGCCTTACATGTGGCCAACCTGGGTCTGCCTCGCCAGCATGGCATGATGGTCCCCTGAGCACCATCAGTACTGACTCCCTGAGCACAGAGTGAGGAGTAAGCCCTGAGAGCTACCGGGTATGGTCCAAAAACCAAGAAAAAAAAAAAGGGAGGGATGCGGGACAGGGATGTGGCTCAGTGGTAGAAACCTGGGCCCTGCCTGCCCTGTGTCTGGGCAGGGTTTGATCTGCAGCACATTAAAAAAAAAATTTTTTTTTAATTTATTTGGGGACCACACTCAATGATGTTCAGGGGTTACTAATGGCTCTGCACTCAGGAATCACTCCTGGCGGTGCTTACGGGACCATCTGGGATGCTGAGGATCGAATCCAGGTCGGTGGCATTACAAGGCAAACGCCCAGTCTGC